AAATGTTTAAAAGTAGAAAATGTTTGACTTCAGTCTTAAATTTAAAAATTCATTGGCAAACAGTCGCATACAGGTAACTATGCGAAAAATTAAGCACTTATAAGGATTACACATTTTAAAATTGACAAGTTGAAATTTTTTGCTTTTTGAGATTTCCCTCCTCATACTTTCTAAATGTTTAGGTGTTGGCCAATCGCGTACAATCGAAGTGATGGATTCGATATGTGATCGAATTGAAGAGAGTGAGACAACCGCCTTACTCAAACGTGACTATGCCTCTTTTGCTGTGTGAAACATCGAATTTCTTATGTCACTTATAGATGAGCAATGAAAATTCTTCTTTGATGTCTAGACTTCTTGTCATAAGGCCTGACATTCAGCAATGGTTTTTTGTTGGCTTGGGATTTTAGTGGTAGTGGGTGAAGCAGAAGATTCTGCTTTTTTTGCGTGACAGATATGTCCGACTACTCGTTTAAATTAGCTGCTGAACAAGAGTCTTTGTGAAATGAGGGTTCGCAAGTCCAAAAAAGCGAAAAATTTCTAGTAACTGTAGGAAAGTCCTTTAGTTCAATTTTTCTAGGAGATTGATTTTGCTCTCACAGTTTAGAATCTTGACCAAATTATGACAAAATCTCTATAAAGCTACTCACAAATATTCTCTTCACATCCAAAACGTTTCCAGGCTACGCTATCCACTTAATGGAGCGGTTACCCCGATTATAACCCTATGATCCCCTTGACTATTTCCGTCGCTTCCGTCAGCTGTTACGCTTTGATTTGCTTCTACCGCCCTTGGGTCACTTTAGACTACTGCAGTGTTCATCTTGGGGTAAATAGACTTAATAATGTTCTTGAAACTATACCTCCTTTTAAGGAGGTTCTAAGAAGTTGAAAAGGCCCAGAAATAAATATCTTACGCTTTTGAAAGAAAAGAATTATTTCAAAACGTAAGATTTTTTTGATGTCTAATTTTTGGAGGTTTTCTATCAACTTTTCGCTCATATGCCAGCTAACTTCATGGACTTTAATCTAATCTACTTATTTATTGGCTAAATGT